ATATTTTTTAATATTTCTAAAAAGAATAAATTATATAGAATTTGGATTACATAAGTACAAATAGAAAATTTCCTATATATATTTATAAATCGTTCTTATTGCTTATTCCTTCTTTCGGTTTTCTTCCCTTTTCTCTTTTCTGTTTTCATTGATCTTATCATTACCTATCCATATCAAAAGGTAATTCAATTAGAAATAGTTGCGACCCATGGAAAAATAATGCATTTTCATGCCAGAAGAACAAAGGGAGATGGGTATAGAGGGAGACAGAGACAAATACAAAGAAAATACACGCACCATCATCATCATCATCGCACTGATCATTGCTCATGATCACTTATATATATATATATATATCTTTCCGCTGCCTTTCCTTCTTTCTTCGTTCTTTTGTTCTTTTTCTACATCGCTCCTTCTTCTTATCCATCTTGTTCTTCTTCAACTGCATACCAAAAAAAGGCAAACGAAAAACACCCAGCAAAGGCGGACAAAAACTCGCTTCCTTTTTTTTCAAATGTATATTCTACGTTCTTTTTGATCTCTTCTTCTTTTGCTGGTGCCGCTGCTTCTTCTTCTTTTCGGTTGGCAGCACTTGAGACCTGTTTTTTTTTCGATTCTCTCTCTCCTTCTCTCTCTCTGATTCTCTCTGCCGTTTCCTTTGTGCTGTGTATTCTTGTTTGTTGATTCACTGCACAAATAAATCTCGGCTTTGAATGTTATCGAGGTTCGAGGTGTGCAGGATTCTCTGGTTGCCCTTTTTTTCTTTTTTTTTTTGCTTTTCTCTTCTTTCCGATTGTCAAATATCGTTTTTGGATGCGAGATTTACAAAAAAAAAATACCCTTGGCACAGGTAGAACCACAAACACACACCCATACATAGTGCATTGTTTTATCAGTCTTTCTACAGGTAAAACTAATGCCAAAAAAACTTATAAGGGAAAAGGGAAAAACGAAAAACAAACGAAGCGAAAAACAACGCAGTTTCATTGCCTATTGGAGAAATCAAGTTCGCTGCTTCAGTCTTTCGATTAAAAATGACTTAGACAGCGAACTTAAAGCTAACCAAAAATTTCGAGAATAAGTGCTAAAAAGAAATCTATGTTCCCCTTATTTATTATTTACCTAATTAAGACAAATTTAATGTGTTTAGGCATTGTTAGAAGCACTTGTATTCTAAATTATTATTTCTGGAGCATTCATTTACACAAGTCACTTCTTATTTATGCATGAAGATACTAGTTAAATTATTAGCCCTTGTATTCGTTAAATAATGGTATTTTCAAACTTTTTGAAAATAATTCAATTTATTTCGTTTCTTATTATTTTATAAGATAACCATAAATCCCCTTTAAATTAAGAATTTGCATGAAGACTTATTCCTACTTATTGTTTTGATAAAAGAGCTAAGCTTATCTTACTTCCAAATCCTCCTTTTCCCCTTCTTTTGTGGTAAATTATATCGTTTCTTGAAGGTATATTTTTATGTTTTTCCTTCAGGCGTTGGACATTTAGACTTTATGATATATATTTAACATCCAATAAGAAGGTAAACCAAGGCTTGATTAATCAATGCAGATAGGGGTCTCATCAGTCTATATTCCATTTACATATGTTCAATCAAGAGGAGATCCCCATCTCGGATCCAATTAGTTAGAGAACTGAATCCACTGGGCTCAAGCGCTTAATTGAAAAATACAATAGAATTGATTTGATTTCCAAAGAAAATCTCATAGCCTGAGCACTCGCACTCGCACTGGCACTATGAAGTAATGGGTTTTGGGTTTTGTTTTCTGTTAGCCCCCTCCCTCCCCTGTCTTTCTCTTTTTGCATTTACCATTTACCTCATTTGCCACTTGACTTTTGCTTTTGACTCGTCGTCTGCTTTGAGACGGTGAGTGTTGTTTGCCGAGGGTTCGCTGAACTTGTCTCTGGCCTCTGGAGAAGGGTCGCGAGGTCTTCAAGGGAACCTTTCGCTAACTTCCGCTCGAGGATTGCAACATCTGCGTGTAAGCTGCGTGTGCAATTGAACTTGCAGTTCTAATAACAGCTGCATAATTTGCATGGATCGCTCTTCTTTTCTTTTCTCTCCTTTTTTTTTTATTTTTTGGAAATTTCTTTATCGGTCGATCGGTCGATCAATGAATTTCCTTTCGGTTATTTATTGACTTTTACTAGCGGGGCCAGAGAAATTCGCGGCATAAAAGATCGCTAATTGAAGATACAGAAAAATGTAACAGGAAGTTATGCTCATAACTTCCAGCTGTGGAGGGCTAAAAAACTAGAAGGAATTCTTAGCCATATATGCATGAAGTTCAGTTCTTTGGTTTACTCGGACATCTCTCTCTCTCTCTCTCTCGTTTTTCTGCCTCGTTTTTTCTCCTTTAGCAATATTCATCCTCCAAGGCCCTTTAGCATTTCACAAGCTCTGTTCTTTTGCCATTTTGCCTCTTCTGGTGGGTTTCTTCTCCCGTCTTCATTTCGACTGGTTCTACAAGTTTTATTATGGCCAGTTGCCTTGACTTTGCTTAGGCCAAATGGCAGACGTCGTGCCTACAAAGCACCCCACCCAACATCCTCATCCTCATCCTCCTCCCTCCTCCTCCTCCTCCTCCTCCTCCTCCTCCTCCTCCTCCCTCCTCCTCCACCTCAACTGGACTTGGCTCTCATGATCATGATGATCTTAGTCATTGTGTGTAGTTGAAACTTAAGCGCAAGTCTAGGCTGCAAAAAAAAAGAGTTCTTTTTCTGCTCCACACTCTTTTCGCTTCTTTGGGGTTTGGCTTTAACTTTGGCTGGCAAAACTTGTACTTTTGCCTGGTCGAGAGAAGATTTTTTTTTTCAAACTGACTTTTAGTACCTTGTACTTTGCTAGTTATATAATTTTTTTCTTTCGTTGTCTACTGTGTGAGTGTGCGCTCAAGTGTGTGAAGTTCTTGGCCATGGGCACAGCCCGATAAAGGCAAGAAAACACGAACAGTAAGCGGTAATTGAACAAAAAGTAAACAGGCAGTGTGACCAGGCGGGTTTTCAAAATCAGAACAGTATGAAAAGGAGGATACGAGACTAAACTATAAAACCACAACTAATTAAAACATTAGGTAAAAAGATAAAAATAGAAATTTAAGAACATCAATTAATTAATAAATTTAAAAAATAAAAAACCTTGATTTCAGAGAGACCACAATTACATTTATAGCAAATTCAGACAAGATTATCAAAGAACCTTAAAGAGCTCCATACTTTTTAAAATTCCATAAAAAAAAAAACCACTAAAAATATTGATGAAGAAATCTATTAATGAAGATTGCTTCCCCTACACAGATTAGATCATAAACTTCCACATACATCTGACCAATTTAGCAATTTTTGCTTGGAGTATATAAAGTTGCGAAACGATTTCCCTTCAAATAGCTTCCATTACAGTATCCGCAGAAATCATAAAAATTATACAGCGGAAGCGTTCATAATACATTTTTAAGTGGATGGACAGGCGATAGAGAAGACGAAGGGAGCTTGGGCGGCGATAAACAGGAGGAACCGAGAACGCAACGTGTTATTTAATTTAATAAATGTATAAAACACTCTACTACGCTGCATGGAAATAATATATATAAGCTATAACCATGAAATATAATGCCCGAGTAAGGGGCAAAATTATGAGGCTGCGTGTGAGAGACGATTCTGTTGAAGTAAAGCCGAGCCATGGTTGAAAAAATATATAGATATTAATTAAGGCCAGACAAAGGGCAGTTAAAAAACTTAGAAACAAAAGACTTGAGTAAAAAACTTAAAAGAACGCAAAACGAAATTCACTTTCAAATAAAATCGAAAAGAACACAATTAATAATCCCGCCCGAAATCAAAGAAAGTTCTCGCCTAATCATTTATGAAAATTTAAAACCTTTAACCTAAGCTCACCGCCTAAATCGAAATGACTTAATAAGCATGCTGGGCGATTATATAACAGAAAAAGAACCGAAACACACACAAAAAAAAAAAGAAAACTGAAAACAGAAAACCGAACCAAGACCAGAACAGAACAGACTGGAATTCTGGTTGGGATTTTGGCCAACAAATAAATAATTCGAAATAAAAACGCTTACGAAATTCAATGAAAGTGATTGATGTCGAAGTAAACCCATAGCTCCGCTTGGAGAGTGGAAGTTAGACAGGGCAGAACAAATACAAAGATACACTGGGGACGAGTTCGTCATGGTGTGGGCGAAAAAAAAAAATAAAACAAACAACAAAAGCTGCCCAAAAGTGAAGCTTGAAATTTGAAAAGATTTCCAGGCAATAGATATGGCAGTTTGTATTGCTTGCCGATTTGCCATCGGGCAAAATACTGACTGACAGATTTGTAGCAATTATTTATCTAAGTAAATTAAAATTCTTTGCGTTGTTCTTTTGGATTTTTTTGTTGTTCAACGAATTCTTAAGCGAAACGTAGAACGCATTTATATAATGTAGAATTCTATCATGGACAATTTGTTGAAACAATCCAAATTTATTCAACTTCCTAGATTAAAATCATTTTAAACCGAAACTTTCAATATGAAGTGTAATCAAAGCTTGGGAATCATTGGGAAATCGATAATAATATCAATAAAATATTGCAATTGATAATCATTTCGGATTTACAAGACAAGATTGTAAAACTAGGAATGCTTGTCAGCCTATTTTAAAACCCTAGAAAGACCGAAAAGAACTGGCCCAAATGATGGATAAAACTATATAAATTAGACTTAGACCCTTAGACTTGTCAAGATTTTTATTTTACAGGACTATTTGGAATGAAGCTTAAAGTTATTTTTCTCTAAAGTTGCTATTATAAATTTGTTTTAAATATCTTGGAGGCTGACAAATTGAAACAAAATTAAGTAAATGGTAGAGTCTTGTGTCCTTAAAAATATTACTCTTGGCCTTTGATAAAGCTCGTATTTAAAGGGCGTTTTGGGTATGTTTTTATGTTTTTTTATTTACATGGAATCCAAACTTACCATTTTGAACTTGGCCCGTGGCGCGTTCGATTTCCGATTCCGCAGGATTTTGTGTTTGATTTGGGATTGAATTCTGATTTTGATTGAGATGTTCGAGACTGTGACGCGATTGTCCAAAATAGTGGCGACGGTGGTGGAATCGCTTGCGCGTGAGGCTCAGCGGCTGTTGATCTGCATCGGGCACCTGTCCGATCACCTGTTGCCCCTGACCTTGCGGTTCCGGTGGCGGCTGGGCGGTGGGCGTGGGCGAGGGGGCGCTGCCACTCCCACTCGGGCTGAGCGGTGGGACCAGACGCTCATCATCCTGATTTTTGTGCTGCAGCAAGTTTTGCGATTCGAGCAAACGTTGTTGCTGCTGATGCAGGCGATTTTTGATCAGGAATATCTTCGGCATGATGGATTAGCGATGATGTAGTATGCAATTTGCGATTTACGATTAACGATTAGCGATCAACGAAACGAAACGCGACGGCAACACGCGACGATTTCAAGGAGGCGGCGTTTTTTTTTTTAATGGGTGGACGAGGGACAGTCACAGTGGGTCCGAAATAAACAAAACACTAATCCAATTGTGTGTGTATGTTTGTTCGCCGCTCGTCCACTGTGTCAAAAAAAAAAAAAAATTGTTTAATTTCAGTTTTGATTTTGTCATGAGCCGAGCTCAAGTCAACTTTTGTTTGGCCCTCTTCATGTCTTTTGGAAGTTCTTCGTTTGTAAGTCAAAAAATAGTCAATTAGAAGCTTACAGATTTATTGGGTTGTTCTGTTTTTGGTTTTTGATTATTAGAGGGGAAATATTCTTTGATTTCCTCGAAACACTTGGAAAAAATGTACTTGAAAAAATTGAGTTTCTTTTTTGTTTTTCTTAGACAAAATACGTTTTCTCTTGGTTCAAAAATTCTTGTTAAAATAAACAGCGGTTTTCTCCAGTTTTAAAAAATTCAAGTTGAGAAAAATGTTATTTCTCCAGTTTTGAAAATTCATCTCTTAGGTTCTCAAACACTTTTTGGTTCTTGATTTTTATATTTCGACGCACTTGTAAAAAATATTACTTGAAAAAAATTTGTTTCTGTTTTGTTTTCATGTATTTATTTTTTGATTTTTTGATTTTATGATGCACAACACAGTGTTTTCGTATTTATGAATTGTGTATTTGATGTGAGTTTTGTAACTTTGGTTTTTTGGTTCGCCCAGGTGAGTTGAAGCGAAAACACGTGCAGTCACAACGCCGGTTCGCCACTTACTGTATTTACTGTATTCGAGGTAGTCGGTTAGGCCAAACCAAAGTCAACCGATCGATCTCGCCGCTACAACAAACTCAGTTAGACGGCGAATTTAAAACACCGTAAGACGAGAAAGAGAGAGAGAGGGAGAGCGAAACTTCGCTTTCGTACGTACGAGTGCGATCGTGTGAGTCAGAAATAACGAGATATGATATTCGCCGTCGTTACGAATCTGGCGTCGCTTTTTCGCTGCCCAGGTGAGAAAAGCGGCGAGGCGAGCGCACCAGCGCACCTGTGTGAGAGAGAGTGAGAGTGTTTTGTGTGCGTTGCCTCATTTCGCTCACATAACGTTTCTCATGCAGTTTCTCGCTCTCTCTCTGTCTCTCTTTCTCTCCTCAGAGTCAAGGTAATTTATAATGATGATCACGATCATGATCGAGATCGCTCGGTTCTTCGCCTTGGTCATTTGCCGGTTGAGATGGTTTTACTTCATTCCGGGAGCTGTACTTGTTGTACTTAGAGTTTGGGTTGGTTTAATATTTCGAAAAATTGGTCGGATTCCCAGATTTGTGATTGTTTAAACTCATGAAAAGGACACTAAAATCAGCTGAATATTTGAATTCAATCATTTTTATTTTGCTTTAAATATAGAACTTTTTGAAAATATAGTTTTTTTATTTATATTCATATTTTTAAAAAGATATTAAAACTTTCCATTAAAAACAGTAATTATTATAGATATTTACTTGAATATTTTTGGAGATATTGGATTATTAATTAATTTTTTAAAATAAAATTGGGAATAACAAATATGAAATTCAAAACAATGAATTTTAGAATAACACAGGTTTCGAAATCATACTAAGTTCTATTAAAAATTTTTAACAAGTTTGTGTCCTAAGTCTTTTGATTTTTTCGCTTTCAAATTGCGAAGAACAAAAAAAATGAAGAAGAGGAAAAGGAGGTAGGAAAAGATAAAGATTCCAATAGTTGTTTTCCGCGGCCCTTAAAAAATTTCATCATCGTTGTCCCTGTGTGAGTGTTTATCAAAGGAAAGAGAGCCGCGGTAAAAACAATAAGAAGAAATAAAGATCCGAACAAGAAGAAGCAGCAAGTAAAATGGAAAAAAGTACCCATATAAGCGAAATTAAACGGCAAAATAGTTGGCAACGCAGGCATTTCTCGCTCTCAGGTGTGCGACTCGCCCTCTCTCACCTGCTCTCTTGTAAGTGTGTGTGCGACTATGACGAAGATCGCTTAGAATGCGCTTAGAATGGCAAATAAGATTGAGAGAGAAGGAGAGAGAGAGATAGGGAGCCAATTAGAGAGGCAGGCCTGGCTCCATCTCTTTCCAACCCGCACAGGTGCGCTGCCAACGGATAACTAACGTTATTTCACACACACTTCCAGAGCAAGTGATGTAAGCGACGGCGAATTCAGAGCGTCGCACACCTGTATCACACACACACACTACAAATACATACGAATACGCTCTTCTGCGGCGACGTAACAAATTTACAGCTAACTTTGAGCTAGTGTGAGAGGTAAGAGAAAGAGAGAGCGACGTGCCGAAGGTAAAATCGAAGACGAACTCATAGCCGAAGCTGAAAACGAAGCCTCTTTTGCAGGTGAGAGAGATGCACCTAAAGAAAAAATTGCCGTCTTTTCAAATCAAAATATTAATAAAAAACGCAGCTCAAAATCAAAAAAAAATTTGAGATTTTTCCTTAAAAAGATAGTTATATATGTAGCTAAGTTTAGCATCAAATTTAAGTCTACTTTTCATTTCGTCAATTAGCTTACAAATCTAACAAGCCCATAATCAAATCCCATATGAATTTGAATCTTTAAGTTGATTATTATATCGTGCATATTTTCTTTATCTGTATCGATGTGTATCGTGAGAGAATTTGAGTTAGAGCGACTTGGAGAATCAGAGACCGAAGAGGCAGCTCAGAAAACCTGTTGGTAACTTTGGCTTTGACTGTGACTTTGCCGTTGAGGCAGCGGCAATGTTAATGTCGTGATGTTGGCGTTAGCAGAGGTTTTCCTCTGGTTCTTCTTCTTCTCGATCGGTGGAGCCTTCTGAAGAACATTTCACTGCTGTTGGTGTTGTTGTTGCTGCATTGTTCCTGCGCCAACTTCACTCTCACTCAAAAAGCCGCTTGCTGGCCAAAATGCAAGTGTTCTGGCCCAGAACTGAAATGCATACAGATTTTTTTGGCCCCTCGCAAATTTGATTAGAAGTATATATTGTTAATGAAAAGTTTGCTAAATAAATTTGAATTAAGCGGTGAAAAATGACGATTGTTTATTTTTCATTAAAAAAATATTGAAGAAAATTCCGTCCATAAAGTAGTTGTATTTACCATTTGACCAAACATTACTTACAATTTGCTTGCATTCATTGTTAGCTCCTAAAAAGTAAAACCCATATAACCTGTACATATTATTCCTTGATTTTTAATAACATATTCGATTTTTTCTTGTAGATATATAAACATGTTAGTAACTTAAGAACCATAAATATGAAAATAAATATAAGACTTTGAAATAGACTAGTGTTTGCTATATTAGCTAAGCTTACATTGAAAATGTTGTACAAAATCGTCCAAACTATATTTTATTTGAATTATTAACCGCGATCAGATCCCTTAAAACCTTAAAGAATAGATAGTCGATCAAGATCTCTAACCAAAAGCGAATCTCAAGTTCTTGATTGCAAACCCAATGAGAATCAAGCTGGTTTTAGTTGTTGGCCCAGACCTAGGCCACCAAAGGTATAGACCAAGACCAACACTACTTGCCAGATCCATATATATCTCTGCTATATGTATATATATAAAAGTGTTTGTGAAATTGCACATGGTCTTAGTGTGAGTGTGTTCACTGGGCTGTTAATGCCTTGACTTTGGCTTTGGCTTTGGCAGTTGGGTTCTTGGTTAGTTGGGTGGGGTTTGTTGGGTTGGCGGGGGGTGTTGGATGGGCGTAGAAGAGGGCCCACAGAGCCAGCAGAATTTTCTCGTTTTTACTGTCTGCATCACCTCCCCACCGACCTGCCCCTGTTCCCACCACCCCTTTTGCTTGGTAATTGCTGTGTTTAAGAATGTGTTCCTTTGGGCCTCAATGCGCTTGCATCGTTCGCTCTCCCTTGCTCTTTCTTAGCTTGTTGTTTTTGCCATTGTGTGGTGGTTTTGTACACGCAAACAAAAAATAAACACCATGTACATTTTTTCCAATAGGCTTTAATTTTGTAAAATTAATTACATTAATTAATTTATTTATGATGAAATGTAACTCAGCTTTTATAAGATCAAAACAAAATATACTTTAAATAAATATTTAAAAATACAATTGTACAACTTTATTTTTAGCACAAACTTGTAATCATTATTTTATTAAATATTTATTTTTGAATTTACATGTTTTACATAAATGCAATTTTTTTAAAATTATTTTTCTTTTGTTTATTTAGTCAACCAATTTTGCATTGTTATTGTAAAAAAAATAATTTAAACAAAATTGTACATTTTATTAAAATTCATCTTATGTAATGTTGATTAATATAATATTACAAATATGCCATCAATAATAAGATCATTAAAAAATGGTAAAGAATTTAATGTGTAAAACCAAGATTTAGATTTAAATAAATATTTCTTTACTTAGACCAGTTAATAGGCCTGAATGTAAATGTTTGTTTTCTGTGTTCCTATAATTTTTTGTTGTCCTTTTTTGTTTTTATCTTTATTTGCTCAATTGTCGTCATCGACGGCGACTCGCTAAAATAATGCTTCAAGTGAAGTAAGAAGCAGCCAGCCAGCCAGCCAGCCAGCCCATTGTGGTGGTAGAAGAGCAAAAGCAGCAAGAGCAGCAAAAGAACATGATCATCACGACGATGGTCATGATGAGCGTGGCAGAGCGGCTGGGAATACCTGTTTTACCTGTTTGTATACCTACTAACGTACTAACACTGTTATAGCGGATTCAACGCGCACCGCACACGCCTGACAACAACAACAACAACAACGACATTAATTGAAGACGCGACCAAAGCGAAGGAAGCACATGAAAAAGAGGAAGAAGCCGCTGGAGAAGAAGTTCTTGCAGTACCGATCCCAACGCCTAAAACCCCACACACATAGAAACTTGGACCCACAGCCTGTCGGCTCTTTCAATTTTTTAATTTCTTCGGTTCTTAGATACCTATTACTAAATAGTGTTCTTTTGATACAATTCAAGACAGTAATCAATAATATTATTTATTGCAAAATTACAGAAAATTGATTTTATAGATAGGATACTTGCACTTCCGGATCTACAATTTAACCTATCTCAAATAATCTAGACTGCACTTTGGAAGCCTATATCAATTTAAGCCTGATCTCAAAGGGAAACTCATTCAAGTTTGCAGGCTAATTCTTTAATAATTTGCATTCAAATGTTTTTGAACTGATTAATTCTGTGGTAAAGATGAGGTTTGGTGAACTCAAAACAATATTTTAAGCTTTGCGAAATTTCAAAGGGTATTAATAGTTCTTTAAGACCAAGGAAACGGTTTTCTTTTCGTTCCTTTTCGAATGCAGAAACCAAAGGCGAATCCAAGTTCTTCTACATGTTTTTTCTTTAAAATCTTATACATCTTCTTTCATCATTCTTTGCTCGCCAGCTTCTTTGGGTTCTTTTGCATCATAATGGTCATAATGATGATGATAATGATGATCTTGGGCCTGGACTTTGGTTACATCTTTTGCAGACTCCACTTCGTCCCTGCCACGCCCCCCTCACCAGTCTCACCGTCACGCGCCCCCTTTTAACCCGTTGTTTGTTTGCTGTGTGTTCCTTTTGTGCCGTTTTTCCAATGCCTGTTTTGTCCACGTTCCTTTCTGACGCCAGGAATTTTGCTCTTCTTGGCCTAACCAATGTCTATTTCTGGCCAAGAAGAGCGAGAAGACGCGAGCGAAATGGTAAGAAGGAGAAGAACTTGTGTTGGGGGTCACTGGGAGACGGCTAATTTATGTTGAAAATGCAA